GAGAGAGAGAGAGAGAAAGGGAGAGACTGACAGACCACCATGTAACGACCCAAAACAAGCATCACCACCATAAAAATAGCGTCACCACTATAAACATAGCGATACCACCATAAACATAGCGATACCACCATAAACATAGCGATACCACCATAAACATAGCGATACCACCATAAACAAAGCGATACCACCATAAACATAGCGATACCACCATAAACATAGCGATACCACAATAAACATAGCGATACCACCATAAACATAGCGATACCACCATAAACATAGCGTTACCACCATAAACGTAACGTCGCCATCATCAAGATAGTGCCACAACAATAAAAATGCATCAACACGTGAACAACAATTTAAAAAAAAAAAAACCCACCCCTTACCCATTTCACCCTGTGTCGCTAAACGTCGGTCAAGTGTCCTATTTTTATCTTCACTTTGTACTTTTTCCCCCGCCCTGTCCAGGGGCCAAGGTGATCAATATCTAGGAGAGGAAAGTAGGTCATCGAACTGGCAGTGCAAGCAGTTCAGGTGCTAGAAGACGAATAATGCTAAAACAAACACGGTCGATGCTAGATTGTCTGTTAAAAAGATGGCGACGATTGAGACCGAAAAATGTTCTACAGTGTTGGCTATATTTATTTTTTGTAGATAAATAGCATCACACTAAATAAAGATTTAAACCCATCCCCACCCACTTACCAGTTCTCGTTTTCGACAGACGCAAATGGAAGACGAATAATGCTAAAACAAACACGGTCGATGCTAGATTGTCTGTTAAAAAGATGGCGACGATTGAGACCGACAGATGTTCTACAGTGTTGAATATATTTATTTATACTACATTTACGTAATCGATTTTTAATGGTGGATGTAGATAAATAGCATCACGCTTAAAATGATTTAACCCATCCCCACTCACTTACCCGTTCTCGATTACCACAGCATAAAATAGTATTCCCCTACCCACGTCAAATAACATCACATTTAACCACTCCCAATAAATTATTGCCACTATTACGTTCTCGTATACAGAGTATGGATGATGTATTGTAATGGTGCAAAAAATAAAAATAGTTTTACACCTCCCTGGGTCGGAAAAACGTAATGTTGCTATTTCATCTGTATGTCTGCGTGTCTGTCTGTGAACAGGATAACATTAGTACCTTTATAGCTAGTTTGACGAAATTTTATTTACAAGAATTCACAAATAAGTAGAAGATCTAATCCTCCATATTTGGACACATTTTGAGTCATTTCCGGTGACCGGAAGTAGCACTTTACCCCATTTCCTATTTTCTAAAAACTCATTCAAATTATTTATTTTTAAAATTCATTCATCAATCTTTTGTCCGTGATTGTCGAAGCTTGCGAGCAAAATTTTGAACACTTCTGCCGGACCGAATTTTTTTTTTTTTTACTTTTCGTGTAGGTAAAGACAATTTATGTGACATAAATTGTTCCTTAATTTGACAATTAGTTAACTCTTTGAAAATGAATCAAGTTTTTCTTCATAAAGTACTATTGCTCCGAATGTTATACACACTGTTTGCTGTTCATTTGGTTTGCAATTTTTTTAAAATCGCAACGGGATTTTATTCTATTTAAAAACCCTAAGTATTTGAAAATTGTTTTTAAAAAATTCTACAACCCGACTGCACTAGAGTTGCCATCCCATTAGAGTTATCAGTTATCTAAGAATTTTCGAGGAAGTTTAGGGAGATCACTCCTGCTTTAATTTTTACCACGAAATATTTTTGAGCTAGATAAAATGGACGTTTGGCATTGAAAGTCATGAAATTGCGAAAGATAAGCCGGCTGTTCATATTTCAGAAATGATTTTTTTTTATAAAGACATATTAGATACTTTATATGTGATTCTTTTGGCAATCGTTATTAAAATGCAAGAATCTTGCATGCTTCTAAACAAATCATTCTTTTAGAATAAAAAAGAACTTAAATATTAGTTTTTCAAAAAATATTCAATTTAGGTTTAAAATATTGCACAAATATATACATATATATATATATATATATATATATATATATATATATATATATATATATATATATATATATATATATGTGTGTGTGTGTGTGTGTGTACATATATACACATATATGTACATATATATATATATATATATATATATATATATATATATATATATATATATATATATATATATATATATATATATATAGATATATATATATATATATATATATAATATTCAGAAATACAGAGAGAGGTTGGGGGTCGACCTGCATATCTGTTAAAAATCAACACAAATGCTAAACGATATGGCATGCGTGCTTTGATATTATGTCTACGAATCTTAAACCATTGTGGGTGGATATTATTGTGGGTGGATGTTATTTTATAAAGATAATCTTTGCAGAGGCGTAGCGAGGGGGGGGGCGGGGGGGGGACATATGTCCCCGGGCGCCGACCTTAGGGGGGGCGCCAAATTGAAAGTTTGAGGGGGGGGTGCAAATGAAAAGTTCGAGGGGGGTGCAAATCGAAAGTTTGAGGGGGGGTGCAAATGAAAAGTTCGAGGGGGGGTGCAAATCGAAAGTTTGAGGGGGGGGTGCAAATGAAAAGTTCGAGGGGGGGGGTGCAAATCGAAAGTTTGAGGGGGGGGGTGCAAATGAAAAGTTCGAGGGGGGGTGCAAATCGAAAATTTGCTCCCGAGGGGGGCGCCAAATTGAAAGTATGTCCCCGGGCGCCGGGAAGGGTCGCTACGCCTCTGAATCTTTGTTTCTGCGCTTGTCAGACATTTACTATGGACATGAAAATCTTATTCCAGATGGTTCGAAATTTGTGCTTGCCATTCCAGTTGACTTCAAAGAGAGGTTGATGGCGGTTTAAAAAAAAAAAAAGATTTTAAAATATAACTATAATGTTACGCTTGCCATATTTCTTTAAAGATTTCTTTTTTAATTTAGTATGATTACATAGACTTTTCAAGACTTTTGAGCAATATATAGAAAAATATTTGATAAAACAATTAAAACCGCATACAAATTGAGTCTGCGTTATGAGAAGCGAACTTTCTCTGTTCTCAGTTTTATAAAATTAACACTAACTTCCAACACTCCAAATTTACAAACACGATTTGTTAATATTTTCTTTATATTCTATGGACTTTAATACAACGGCATAATCAGGAAAAGTAGTTTTAATAAATCATGCTCCGTGTAACTGTTTTATTTCTATTACTATCGATAGCGTATAAATACCTCGGTATTTATATAAATAATCTGAAGGTATAATTACAATAACATTTCAATTGTCCATTTAAAAAAAAAACCACATTTTTGTTAATTACTAAGTTAAAAATAAATTACTCCTCAAATTTATTTTCATTTTCTGAAAATCTACAATACAGAAAAGTGTATTATGATCCGCTTTTTTTTCCCGTAATCAAATGTCCACATTTCTCCAAGCTATAATTTGAAATCGGTACTGATATTATTTTAAACTCCTACCTGTATTTTGTACAAACAAAATAAAATGCATAAAAAGTTTTAATAACAAGCGTTTATATAATTAATAATTATGCACTGAAAAGCAGAAATAAAAAAAAAAATACTATTTTAAAAATGTATATAAAAGCGTGTCGCGCTTCTTAAAAATTATCAAAGGTATTTAATAACGAAAAATGTCAGTACTTAAAATTTTTAAATAAAACAAAGCTGCATGACTAAGAAATAGTTGCTAACCAAAATGCATAAAAATGCAAGTATAGTAGTGCGGTAAAGAGTAGGCTCCCCTATTGTATATAGTACATTTTAATTAATTGATAACAGATGAATTCGGCATAAGGGTCTACCAACTTTGAAAGAAATCGGTCAGTTAGAAGTGCTCGACTGTTTCGATCTATGACTACAGACAACCAGACAAATAAACAGAGAATCAGACAGGTAGGCTTGCAGGCAGACTGAAAGACAGACAGACAAACAGACAGATGGACAGACCGACGGTGGACGGACAGACAGACAGACAGACAGAAGAAGAACGTTAAATAAAAGCTAGTAAAAATGTACACGTTATGCATTTTGTTTTTATTGCATTATATTTTGAGAATTATGTTTTCAAAGAGTTTGAGACTGCTGCTTTTTTGTTCGACGACTTAACCCTGATCAGAAGGGATATATATATATATATATATATATATATATATATACATATATATGCAGAGAAATAGAGAGAGAGAGAGGAAGAGACGGAGAGAGGAAGATCAGAAGAAATATATATATATATATATATATATATATATATATATATATATATATATATATATATATATATAGAGAGAGAGAGAGAGAGAGAGAGAGAGAGAGAGAGAGAGAGAGAGAGAGAGAGAGAGAGAGAGCCAATGTATGAATTGCTTGGTCAATTTTAAGCGCATTGGCCGGCCAATGCGGGCTTTGGCATCTATTCTGGCTTTGACCGAAACGTATATATATATATATATATATATATATATATATATATATATATATATATATATATATATATATATATATATATATATATAACACCTATAAAGTTTGTGATCATAATTATTAAATATTTCAGAACTGATAATGTGATCAATAACAAGAACTTAATAGTTTAATATAAATTATGAAGATATTTTAAAATACAGCATTTTTGATTTACAGAGGCATAGGTAATTTATTCATTTTCTTAAATAAATTAGGCTGCTTGTTTAGTAAATAAAATTATTTATATTGATTAAAATCAGATGAAAATGCTGTCACAAATAAATTTAGGCGTCTCGTAGTTATTAAGACTGAAATGCTAATAGTGTTAAAATTGCGATTTAGCGTTATTTTACGACCTATTACAAAATTAAACAAAAATATTGTATGGCCTAACTATTTAATCTTTTGTAACACGTTCTTTTTTTTTTTTTTAAATGATAAACAATTTAAAACGGAGTAATTTTATGTGATGTAACGTAAATATTTATTCAAAAAAATATTACCAGGCAAATTCTTCTCTCTTCCTGTGGCCACGGAATCCCAATGAGTAGCCACGCAGGTGAAGAAAAAGTTTTACTTTGGGCGTCACAGTTGCTAATAGGCCAAGCCTGTTGGAACAAGTCGGGTTCAGTATGGAGTGGGGTTTTTTTTTTCTTTTTTTTTCAAGCGACGCGGCTTCGCAGTCCCGCGAACGGTCTCGCCACACCGCCAAGCCGTATCAGCTGGCCACGGGGGATGGGGGCGCAGCGGTAGTGACCTTTCACTCGTACCGAAGGTAATTTCTTCTCGGCAAAAGTTGCAAAAATGTAGTTCACAAGGAGAGGTCAGCCGAGAGTTCACCGGGTTGAGGGTCAAAATACTCCGCTTAAAGTACAGTCTAAGAGAGAAACCACATGGTGAATTTATTTATCAGAGATGATTCAGTTTTCGTTTAGATACATGTCATGACTAACTACTAAAAACAGAGATTATAAATGTTACGGTCAAAGCCCGAAGTCGGCCAAAGCGTGCATTGGCCGGCCAATGCGCGCATTGGCCAATATCGCCTCCCATTGACCGGTCAAGGTCCGAAACTTAACTTGATTTTGACCTTTGGCCAGCCAATCAGCGGACTGGCCAGGTTGGACCGGCCAAAGTCTGAAATGGCTCTTGATTTCGGCCTTTGGCCGGCCAGTCCGCGGACTGGATATGGTGGACCGGCCAAAGTCCTAATTAGAAGATCTTCTGGCTAGGGACGACCGACCAAAGTCCGAATTAGAAGATCATGAGCAGATGTAGGGTTTAATATACCGTAAGGATCGCGAAATTAAGTCTTTATTGATTATTAATTAAAGTAAATGACAGAAACAATCAAATTATTTTATTGTACTATAGTCTCAATCAATATTATCACTTGTTACAACAAGTTGAACTTTTATGGTATTTAGAATTACATAGTAGCTTGTTATTTTTACACTTGCAGCGATTTGTTGTGCACTTGGTTGTGCAATTGCAGCAAATGTAACCTTGGCCGCCGGTCAGTGATTGTGAAGATGCGATTGTTCGTAGTGATTTTTCCTCAGTGCCAAAGGGCGACAATGAGAGCAGTTTTTCGTGAAGAATTAAAAACTCACTTCTAGCATACAGTTGCTTTAGAACACAATGCTCCGTTCCTAAATTGTAGAAAGCGCCCTCGACGCCCATGACAACTGCAATGACGCTTCGGGGATCACCGCGACCTCTGTCAACATCAGAAATACGGATGTGAACATTATCTCCCACTTCAGCTTGTTTAAAATTTGTATCTGATTTTTTAGCGTCTTGGCACCTTGAGTTTGCAAGCTAGTATGAAATGCTGACCTGTTGTCCATGATTTCTTGTTTATTGTGACATAATCTGCAGTTAATGTTCCCTCCGTAACCTTCGTCTGCTTCATTGGGTATTCCGCATGTTGCATGGACATCGTTGCCACAGAATCCACAAGAATGGGATGCACTACAATATCTTTCATAAACTACACATAAGCCATTGGCCATATTATTGTCATGTTTTTTATAAATTGAATAAATTTGAGACTCTCAGCCCAATGAGCTGATTCATGTGTCTGCATCCATGTCATCATTATGCTTTGAATATCTTGGTTGGCACGTTCTACTGAACCTTGGTTTTGGCTATGTCTTGGATTTCCGTAAACTAGTTCAAGTTTAGGCCACATGTTCTTTAGTTCAGAAATAACTTGATTCACAAATTCTCTTCCCTTAGGATTTGGATTATTTATTTTGGCAGCCATCTGGTAAGTCTGTCACTTGGCCTGACTTGGTCCTTGTGGCTTTGCATATAGAATGCTATACAAACAATACACTACTCACAATGAAACCGCACCCAGAATAATGAAAACGCGATCACAACTTGGTCTAGGACATCCCGGTCAGTGCGTGCATTGGATAGCCAATGTATGAAATGCTTAGTCAATTTTAAGCTTTTTCGGACTTTGGCCATCACGTCCCGGACAGTGCGCGCATTGACCGGCCAATGTAGGAAATACGCTGTCAAGTAAAAGGTCTTCGGACTCTGGCCAGTACGTCCCGGCCAGTGCGTACATTGGCCGGCCAATGTACGAAATACATTCTTAGTATAAGCTCTTCGGGCTTTGGCCAAGAGAGCCGGCCAATGCGCACATTGACCGGCCAATGCAGGCTTTGGCTTCTCTTCGGGCTTTGACCGTAACGTATATATATATATATATAGTGGTGTAAGTCCATGGGAGATGTTATAACCCCCCTAACCCCCCCCCTTGCCTACGCCAATGGTTGAGAACTCCTCACGCGCTTATTCTACCATTCACCATTACCACTGAAAGATAACCCGTAACTAAAAATTAAACAATGACAATATAAATTTAAAAAAAACAACCACAATATGAAATACTAGGAAATAGATAGTAATATTATCTTTAAAAAGTAGGCATAGTGACAAAGGTTATTTTTTTTTATTTTTTTTTGAGGTATAGTCAAGGGTGACAACTAGATAAAGAAAGTTGTGACATCAAGGATAACCTTTTTCATGTCTGCGTTTCTCAAATATTCACTTATGACTACCATTTGTTTGCGTTGTTACATTATACACAATCGCTAAACATTTTCACGCTTTGATAAAATACAAAGATGTTTCTTTTTTATTGAAAGGCGTATAGATTAAATGATAGTGAAATACAAAAGTAAAAATATTATAGACATAGAAGACTATATAACACGAGGTGAATGCTTGCAGACTAAATAAACATTTTGTCGTATGAATGTTATTTTTTTTTTATTATTTTTTTTTTTTACCGTTGGGGAGTTCGGTCAGCTAACAGTAACAAATCACGTGACTGAGGTAAAGATAAACAAAATGCAGGCAGTTATAAAACAGCGAGTGACACAGGTTTGTGACCTTATGGTATGTTACGGATCATAATGCGTAGGCGTCCGCTGATCAGGAAGATGTTGTTTTTTTTATCGATCACAAAAAAATTGGATGAAGTTTATGTGGTATTGAACTGTGTGGTTGAGAGTTAGAGGTAAAATGTTATTAACCCGGATCTTAAGTTTAGATCCACCAGAGGCGTAGCGATAGGGGGGGGCAGGGGGTACATATGTCCCCGGGCGCCGACCTTAGGAGGCGCCAAAATTTGTTGTAAAAACAAATTAAAATGTTATTTCAGCTGCATTTTTTAATTATAAATAGCTTGGGGGGGGGGGGGGTGCAAATCGAAAGTTTGAGAGGGGGGGGGTGTGCAAATTGAAAGTTTGTCCCCGGGCGCCGGGAAGGGTCGCTACGCCTCTGAGATCCACTGTCCTGGTCATTCGCACGGTAATACGTGAGTCCTCCAAGCTATGAGCGTCAGTTACGGCGGCTAGGCATGTTGCCGACCACACAATCCCTGTTGATACTGAGTGAAAGAAACACGTTGAGCATACTTTACACAGGGTTTCTCTCAGATACTTTTATCAAGGAGACTGTGACGTAACATGGTACTCCCGGATGGGTTTGGGGTAATGGGGGGGGGGGGAGGTGAACTTCTGCAGGTGGCTGGCATTGGTTAAAGTATATATTTTCCATTTCAAGTACATACTTTTTTTCTATTTCGTTGAGGTAGTGCTAGAGGGGGAGGGGGGGGGTAAATGCCACCCCCGGAAAATATACCTGAAAGAGACATTGACTTCACCTATGAAACGAAATTTACATTACGGCCTTTATGCTTGTTAAATTGGACTAGAATGATGGGAGATTTAAGTTATTTTTTAACACGCATGTATATATTAAGCTCATGTTTTCACACGCACAACTGTGTTTAAAATTCAGTAGATGTTGTTAAGAAAAAATGCACATAATTAATACGATAAGCACGAAACCTATCAAGACATAATGCATAAATGGTTAGTTAAAATCAAGTCTACCTTGTCCATCCGAACGGCAGCACGTTTGAACCCACACATTTTCCTTCTCTTGTATTTTACCTCCTTCTTTAAAGTACCTCCGCTGCAAAGATAGTTTTTCCTAAATACCACTACAGATTATAGCAAACTTCTTAGTATAGTTTCGCTAACAAACTTAGGAGAGCCCGTAATTTCCCTTGACACTTTCGTACTTTAAGATAAGCGGTATATTTTGTCATTTTTGCTCTACTTTTTAACGGCTGACGAGTGGAAAATATTAGTTGCAATGGCTTCTATTCTGTAGCGAACTATAAAACGAAGCCAGATGTTCTTTTTTTCACGAATATAGCTCAAGGTTGTTTTTTGTACCAGCGTCTGATAATGCTGTACACTTTATCTTGTACTAATAATTAGATGTTAGGTTATTGGTAGTAAAATATACAACGAAAATAACTTGTAAATCGAAGGCCACGATCACAAACCGACTATCTCGGAAAAGTTCAAAAATCGAAATATAGTATGATTGTATTTAGTGTCTAAAATTGGCAAGGCAATATGATGAATGATTACTGTGATTGTGGCGAAGAAAGTCTAGGCGGAAGACAAATGGTCTCGCCATGCTAGATGTTTGTTTCTGATGTTGTTAGACAAAAGGGCGCTATTTAAAAAAAAAGTACTTTATTGTTAGACAACTGCTTAGCCTACGTACAATTAACGATTGTACCGATAAAGACGTACAACAATGATTTTATCCAAGAAAACCGATTATGTACATGTGGTCTCTCATGGTGTATGCAATAAAGGCAGCTCAGTTATAGGATCGTAATAAAATGTACTTACATTTGTTTTCAATAGGGAAGTATAAGTATATTTATTGTGTTTGGCATATACTCAGTGGCGTAGCCAGGATTGTCTCAAGGGAGGGGTTCCAATTTATACCCGGGGTCAAACTTTCGATTTGCACCCCCCCCCTCAAACTTTCGATTTGCGCCCCACCCTCAAATTTTCGATTTGCACCCCTCCCCTCATACTTTATATATACCGAGGGGTCTATGGGGGGGGGGGGGGGTGTTATGACCCCCCTAACACCCCCCCCCTGCCTACACCACTGCATATACTGCTAGACTTTTAAAGAGACAAGTGTGATACAACTTTGACGATGTGATTGTGAATTGTATACTAACCTGAAATTAAAAGACAAGTCAGAAATCAATAAACCAGTCTGGTAACATGCCAAATTTTAGAAAATTTCTAGAGTGTTTTATCTTACAAAAACACTAGCCAGATAGGTACATTAGAGCTAGAAAAGAAGGATAAATGATTTTATGTTAAATATATATGTTCGTTTTTTAACATTGAGATCTCCACAAAATGTGGGTTTCTTTCAAGACGGCTGCCGTTGCCACGGCAACTATACTTTTAGATGAATCCCCGAAACATACACAAATTTTCATTTAAGTACCCTAAAATAGATACACACAAATAAATCATCATCATCACTCCTTTTTGGCCCCTGGGGAGCAAAGGGCTGCAACCACACATCTCCAGCGGACTCGGTTTTGGGCTGCTCCCTTAATCTGTGCCCATGAGAGCCACAAATAAATAAATAGGGCTTATTAATAAAGAATTTTGTTTTTACCGGTGCCTACCCCCTTCAAACTGGGAATCAGCTGAATATATACACGAAGCAGCCAGATTGATCTTGGCATTAGTCAAATATTAATAAATGAACCTGACATCTTATAAGTGGCCTTTCTCTCCGATAATTATACGCGTCTAGCACCAGGGTAATAATCCGTAATTGTAACTTGGTCATCTATGTCAACATGATTTAAAATCAACGTTCCCTCTAAGGGGAAAAGGCTGGTGTGCAACGTGTATTTAGCATGCGCGGTGTTCTAATCGTGTTATACAAATGTATCAGAAATTTAAAATATATGAAATTTCATCAACCTAGCTGTAACGGTACTCAAGTTATCGTGTTTACACACGGACACACACACACACAGACACACACACACACAGACACACAGACATACGGACAAGATTGCAAAATTATGTTTTTCCGTATCAGTGAGATGCAAAACGTCGAGATTTGCAAAAATCTCGATTTTTTTTTTTTTGCACGATTACAAGACTTTCTCTATACTTCGTATATACGAGAAAGTAAAAATGACTAGGTTCTAAGCTAATGCTCGGCCGCACGACAGCGCAGCTTAGATGCAGTGGGGTAGCCAGGGTCGTCTCAAGGGGGGGGGGGGGGGGGGGTTCCATTTTTTACCCGGGGACAAACTTTCGATTTGCACCCCCCCCCCCTCAAACTTTCGATTTGCACCCCGCTCAAACTTTCGATTTGCACCCGCCCCCCCCCTCAAACTTTCAATTTGCACCCGCCCCCCCTCAAACTTTCGATTTGCACCCCCCATCAAACTTTCGATTTGCACCCCCCCCCCCTCAAACTTTCGATTTGCACCCCCCACTCCCCCCACTCAAACTTTTGATTTTCACCCCCCCCCTCAAACTTTCGATTTGCCCCCCCCCCCCCCCCCGCCGTCAAACTATCGATTGGCACCCCCCTCAAACTTTTTGATTTGCACTCCCCCTCTCAAACTTTCTATGGGGGGGTATGACCCCCCACCTAACCCCCCTGCCTACGCCACTGCTTAGATGGAACCTACATTAAAATGGTATCCGCGTTACTAAATAAAAATGATCTCCTCAGAGTTCTGGCACCTAAGTTAAAAGGGCTGACAACTCGACCAATTAAGGTATTATACCGACACGTAAATATGCCGTGATCATTCTGATTTTTCAATATACCAGTTTGGCAGCAAGATACTAAACTACCTCATCACTGTATTTGTTTAATGTCAAGTTACAACACAAATCAGACAGTCTGTAGATCAGTGGCGTCGCTAGGGCGGGTAACACCCGGTGCGGCACCTATGTATATATATATATATATATATATATATATATATATATATATATATATATATATATATATATATATATATATATATAATATGCCTCATACTTTTGTTAGTCTGTGAATACGCATGTGTAGGCCCTATATGTAGGCTATTTAATTTTTTTTAATTTTCTGGATAAAAAAATATTTATGACAAAAATAAAAATCTGCGAAAAAAGATATGCATTGATTATACCCACATAGCACACAACATTTAATAGAAATAGAAAAAAAACCCATTAAACATATCACTTATCGTAGGTAACAAATCAACTACTCAAGCACAATTAAATGTACAACTATTGTTTTACTCATTTCAGCCACCCTCCTCCACACACGTACATACACACACACTTACATACACACACACACTTTTATACACACACGTTCGTGCCCAACACACATGGGGCAGTATGTACGTAATAATAATTCACTAGATCGAATGATATGTAGATTTGTAAATTTCCAATATGGTTTAACACCAATCCACCGGTGGACGGTGAATTTGGTGTCACCTCTTAACTTTTTTGTCGAAAAGTGTCAATTTATGCAAACATTATATTAACCAACCTAGAAAAAAAAAGTCAAACTCTAACAGTTTTTAATGCAAGTGTAAAAAAATAATTCTATTTGTAGTATATTACATTTGGTGTAATACCCCCTCCCCCTTCTCACCCTCACTCCAGACGTGGATTGACGTGTCAGTCATTGCTATTCTCAAGACACCTTTTTTTCTTCGAAAATGTTTTTGCAACGTTTGTTGGTGCCACCACCCCCCCCCCCCCCCCACCCCCACTCTCTCTCCACCCGGTGAGTGATGGCTGTAGACCGTGCACAAGTAATACTAACGATGTCCATCTATAGTCGGTTATAAATAAAATAAACAAAACATGGTCAAAGCACCAGGAAAATCATTAGCAAAAGTAGTACTCGTTAACCTTGTCCATTCTGCTCGGAAAAAATCGCTAAAAGGAAGCAATTCCAAGGAAAGCATACCCATCATAATCTGTAATTGCATATCAAAATAGCTGCACTTTAATTATTACGGTGTATTGTAAAAAGGAAGTCTATAAAAACGAGCCAAAGAGATAATATTAAGAGCTTAGCTGTATGACTCGATTAGAGTTAATGTAAATTAATTAAACAGAGTTATAAATGAGCTATTTAAAGTAGTTAAACTACTGGTTGCTAAGTTAAATCATGTGGGATCTTTTATTTTAAAAAAAAAACATTTTTTTAATATTCTCTTAAAGCTTTTAACCTAATTATTTCAAAATAGATTATTTTATAGATTTAAATTGTGTCCGTCTTTATTATTTAACAAGGAAGTGTGTGGGCAGAACTAAATGACTTTCCAACCTTGCGACGGTTTATTTCAACTAATCAGTTAAACTTACTAAGCGGGCATGGGTAGAGCACATCAGTGCAACATAAGCTACAAATCAAAATCGATTTTAAATAAAACAAATATAAAATTGTGTCTAACAACAACCTTTTAAACGCACTGAAAATAAGAAAATAAAAGTAATGTATTTTCTTTAATAAAATATATTATATATATATATATAAAGACGCTCCTTGAGTTGACTTAGCTGATATAGTTGACGGGATTTTGGGGAAGATAACGTGTCTTGTCTTTGTACTGACCAAAAACCTCTTCGTGTAGAAGAGTTTAAATAGATGAACCTTACTCCACATGCAATACAGTCAATATTTACATTGTATTTTGTTTGAATAGTTTTAGGCTAAGAGTGAGAGATTAGGACTAAGGGTTGCATTAACGCAACGGTTACTGGTGTGCGTGGGCTTGAGTGTAACACGTATTGCTGCAAAACTGAAGTTCTGACATTTCAAAATAGCCAGGGGCGTAGCGAGGGGCGGGGGGGGGGGCGGGGGGTGCGGACCGCACCGGGTGACACCATTTAGGGGGGTGACACCAAGGCAAAAAATAGTAAAATATATAGAGAAAAACTCTAGGGAAGGGGAGGTGCAAATCGAAAGTTTGAGGGGGGGGGGTGCAAATCGAAAACTTGAGGGGGGGGGGGGGTGCAAATCGAAAGTTTGAGGTGGGGGGGGGGGGGGGAGTGCAAATCGAAAATTTGAAAGTTTGTCCCTGGGAAGGGTCTCTATGCCTCTGGGGGGTGACACCATTAAGTGCCGCACCGGGTGACACCCGACCTCGCTACGCCACTGAAAATAGCACTTTGTTGACGAATTATTTTTTTTTAAACAAATATGTTGAAATCTTATCGCCATTGCTAAGCGAAGGTAGGCGAGACACTTTCGGAAACGATGAATCATTATGCAAAACAGCGACAATCATAGCTTTTGAAATACATTCAAGCTTTCATAAACCATTAATAAATGAAAGAAAGTCAGTAAAAGAATACATGAAATTAAAGGGCACAATACAATTTTAGAAGGCTTGTTTTAAATTTTGCAGCCCTTTTGTAATAATTATGTATCTTTTTAAAATCTAAACCCTTGAATGTGTTCGCGTGCTTTGTTTTGTTCAGCCAGCATTTACATCGTTTTGTTTAACAAAAGGGACTGCGCATCCTAATGATCCGCCCACACGGTCACGTGTGCAGGCATGTATGCACTCGTTAATATATAATCGAATTCCTCGACCGAGAAGTTACCTGAGGTGGCAGGTGTGTGTTGAGTTGATACACAAGGGTCGCCTACGCTAAACTGGTCATGCCTGCGTGAGTACGTTTAACACCGACCACGCAGTCTCATTAATATACAATGTGTTCATTGTGTGCTGAGGTAGGTTTGTGTAGGCTTGGCGTTGTCTATAGCATATTAAAACGTTGTCTTGGTGGCATGCTGAGATGTGTAGGCTAATAAATGGAAGTGGGTTCGTTTAAGTAATGTGTAGGGGGATGGCGGAACGGGGTGGAGGGAGTATGGTTAAATAAGGTAACAGGTGGCAGTGTTTTTGATAACAGAA